TGTGTGTGTGTGTGTGTGTGTGTGTGTGTGTGTGTGTGTGTGTGTGTGTGTATGTGTGTGTGTCCGCAGAAAGGTCCCAGTTGTCGAAAAGGCTATTTTTTAAGTTTGAGCAACGGGGTGAAAAGGCTAAAATTGTCGTAATTGGTCAAAAAATTTAGTTCCATCAGTAATATACGTTTAACCATTTCTTAATAATACAATGAAAGGATGTTTTATTTCAAGTCTGATCATTTTTATTACTTATTGTTGCGACAGATTGTACTTCACCAAAGGTTAAAAGTATCCTAGAAATTGTGGTTTTCTCCAAACTTTGTTTTTACACCCTGTTTTACAAACTGTGGCATATCTTTAAAACTGCTCAAGACTTTTGAAAAATTAAAAAAACCAGCGTGTTCACCATTGAATTTGTAACAAGAATATGTCCTTATTTCAAAATACAAAATTTCCAACCCGCACGCGCACATGCACACCCATTCAATAATTATACCACGTAATTTATAATGGCACTGCTCATATTGGGACTCTTAATGTGTTGCAAGTGCCATAAAACTCTTACTAAAAATACACTCATATTGGGGCTGACAGCGACAGTGCAGTCGTGTTGTGAACTGAGTCACTGGGTGCCTGACATCTTTCTCATCATCATCATCCAGTGCCAGATCTGCGACAGACATCGGCGATCATGGTTCTCCATTCATTCTTTCGCTCGGATGCTCTCAAAAAAGCTACGTTTCCCTCATCTTTCCCTCTTACCCATTTGTTTAGGTTCCCTAAATTTGTTGTTCTGGGCCTACCCCTGCCTCGCCTGCCCTCAATTTTGCCAGTGAGAGCTAGATCAAACCCTCTCTGGCTAGATGTTCAAGACCCTTATGTCTATTCAGGTGTCCCAAAGACTACATTTGTCGTTTCCTGATTGTTTTTAGACATCTTCCTTTGCTCTATATTTGTGACTTTCACCTTCAGGTGAGGAGAGTAGTGATCGGGTGCGTTTATGAATATTTATTATGCTTTCTTCTTTATAAGTACTCACTCGTTACTTTACTCTTGGGTATTTTAAAAAATTAATGTATTGTTTCACTGGGCGGTGAGGGGGGGGGGGGGTCACTACGGGTTTTCTCGGGAGCTCTTTTCTCTCTCATTACGTTGATGACTGAAGGAAGTATCCAAATACTAATAGCAGCAATCGGCTTCGACTTCGGAATAAAACACCGTGAATTTCATAACGTAAGAAAAATCAGCTTTTATTTCTGGGGAAAAAAAGGTATTTTGCACCACAGGTACGGTAATTAATACCACTGGCTTGTGGACACTGTATCAGATAGACTTCAATTTTGGTTCTTCAATGTCATCAAATCAACCCGACACGATAATATGATCTGGTCATGCAGAACGGATAAGGTCCAATTGACCAACAGGCATCCATTCTTAGATCTGAAGTTTGCTCGCTTGATGCACCACTTAAACAAATGGCTGCAGTCAAAGCAAGAAACAAAAAGGCGGATTCAAGCGCAGTGTTTATAAATAAAACAAAACAAAACACGAAAACATATAAGCTGATCCAAGCGCAGTGTTTACAAGTAAATAAGAAAAGAAGAAAGCATAAAGGCTTTGGTCTACCTTCAATCTGTCCCCGCGGTCTTATGTTAAAAAAAAACAAATCTTAAACTATGCAAACTGGGCCCAAAAAAGGAAATGATGCGATTCTGTTAATTTTAACAAAGAATGATAAAGGAAAATAGTCAGAAATTATGCACAAAAGTGACCAAATTTTGCTAAGTTATGCGGGGTGCATAAAACTGCGGGGACAGTTCAATTCTACCAGTGAGA